AAAGTTGGCTAAGTACAAATTAGAGTAATCGAAATAATCAAAAGAAATTTCCAAACCATTTATTGTTTGACGGCCGTTTCGATTAAGTTTTCCTTTCAGCAAAAGACGATTATATTTGCCTTTTCTACTTCAATTGAAATCAATTTCCAATAATTTGCCAATGTTATTTTTATTTCCGACCAATATGAAATGGCGTCTTGGTTTGCGCATGCGTATTCTATAAAGTTAAGCTATCCACTCGTGTTGCTTCCAGATTTTTTTTCTTTAATCTCATCTCTGAGTATTATTGGGTTGACAATTAAAGAAGGGCCTGGCTTTTCGCTGGTCATTCGACAGTTCCAAAGTAATGACTGCTTTATAATTTCCTTAAAGATGAATTAGTGGAAGATTCTCCTTTGTATATCCTGTCCTGAATCGGTCAAAAGGTAACATTTTGGGGCTGAGAGGACTCAAGAGTTGAACTTTTGTAATATAGCAATGAGGAATCTTGAAATTGATCGAGTAGATCAATATCATAAAAGGATCAATATCGATTATTTTATAAAAGTTGATTTGTTTTTAATTTGATTTTTCTCTTGTCCCCACCAAAAGTGGTATACTTATATATATATATATATATGTGTGTGTGTGTGTGTGTGTGTGTGTGTGTGTGTGTGTGTGTGTGTGTTCGAAAATATTTTTAAAAGTAGAAAAACTTATTAAAGAAATGAAAGTGTGTAGCCTAATATTACATGACATTTTTAAAACGAAGCAACCAGTTTCGCTCCCGCTCTTCAAGCCTCTACGGATGATTTAATATAGATTATATATATATATATATATATATATATATATATATATATATATATATATATATATATATATATATATATATATAGATTGAACACGTTAGGTAAATAATCCGGAGTTCTTTAGTATTTTTTTTTTTTTTTTTTTTAAAAAAAACAGTGCTCCATAGAGAAGTAGAGCTTAAATTATAATTATTTTTTAAAAAAATATGATTCCTTAGCTACATAAGAGTTCTCATGTTTCAACAACGAGAACCGAACATCCACACAAACACACACGTGTGTGTGTGCGCGTGTGTGTGAATAAAATAAGCAGCTCCTAAGAGACTCAGCTATAGAGGCAAACTGGGGAAAGAATGCTCAATTCCATCCATATTAACTGCCAGATTGCGTGAAAATGCATGAAACTATTAATTGTGGTCGGCCATTGTTGACTTGAAATTTTGCGATCATCAGACAAACTGGTTTATTTTATTTAAATTAATCTATTTATGCTTGTTTGATTATGTTTGGTGTTGGGAGAGAGAATTTACTTCCGTGTATGTTTGGGATGACACGCTCACACACACAGACATACATACATACAAGTGTATGCATTTTAGTTTACACAAACACATCCATATAAACAATCCGAAGCTAGGCTCATATCCATACCATAGAATATGTCAGCTCTGTCACTGATATTTAGCGCATTCTACTAAGTACTGCGCATATAAAATAATATATATATGTGTGTATGTGTGTGTGTGCATACATATATATATATATATATATATATATATATATATATATATATATATATTCAATAAATCAAGAAAATTTCAAGTAACTTGTCTTATCAGATCTTCTACTTATCTGCTTCGAGACGAATAAGCATTAATCATAACTTTCAGTTTTCGATATGAGACCTGGTAATAAATTCACTAGAATTATAGAACGTTTGAGTGGGTCAAGCAGAGAAGTCACTTGGACTTTTCTTGATTTATTGAACATTAGTTAACTATTGTGTGCTTCCTGGCAGTTCTACTACCCTGAAAAAACGCTAAATTTTCGTAAGTCATATTATCATTATATTTCTCATGACAATAAACCTTATTTTTCTTGGGAACACGTTTTTGATTCTTGCAGATATATTTTTACTTTCTTAAAAAGTGAAATTAACGAGAATACCAAATCCGCAAAGCCAAAAAACACTTCTAAGAGGAATGACACAAAATTCATAACCCTTCCCTCCAACACCAATTCAAATGCTGGGATTTATCAAATAAATTGTTTACAATACAAAAATGTTCATGTAGAGAGACATCACGTGATCTAAAAGCACACAACTACAAACACAAGAGAGACTTGCGATTCGACAATCGATCTAACTCTCATTTTGCATCGAAATTATGCTGGACATAACTTTGATTTCACTAATGCCACACTAATTAAAAATAACATAATTGTTTAAGAGAAAATACATTGAAAATTTAATTATAACATTATTACCAACTATAAACAAACGTCTAAAACTTTCTTAACTTATATCTAACTAATACAAAGAATACATGCTTAAAGAGGTCAGCTATAAATTAGAATCGTGGGACACGCAGCTGTATGGGTTGACCGCACAAAAGTTTAGACAGCAAAATTCCCACATGACAGACATACGTACACAATTACAAATACGCATTGACATCCGATGCCCACTTAGACATACAAGAATCTTTAAAACTTACATACACATAGAATTGTCTAAGCTTTTAATACACGTGACACGTTTCTGACCAATGAGAACAGACTCAAGTAAAATTGAAAATACGTTTGTTTTCTGTTTTCTCTCAATCTCGGATGAAGCTTTAATAAAAGTGAAACATGTTCCATTGATATATGTTTCCTATTCTTACTTTTATATAATCTTATAAATATAAGTAAGTATACTCGTCCGGAAAAACCTTAGGTGTATTGGCTTGTAAATGAACAAACCAATACCTAAGGAAAAAAAAGGAATAAAAAAGAAAGAACTAGAAACATGTAATTTTGGCGAAAATAATCGACCAAAATCTAAGTTCAGAGTCCAAAGAAAAAAAAACTCCGACACGAGTAAAATAAAAAAAATTAAGCAAAGTGCTCAATACACTAAGTAGAGCAAATCTAACTATGAAACTAAAGAGCCAGGCAAACCTACCTAGGTTTCACTTACGCGGATCGTCAGGGTACGCTGGCCGATCTGAATACACAAAATAGTAGAACGTACAAAAGATTACCTAAAAGACAGATAAGAAGTGAAAAATTAAAATAAACGATAAAGAGAAAGAAAAAACAAATAATAGTCACAAAATAACTTGTAAACGGAAAAAGATAGGTTACACGTACAAAGAACAAATACAGTAATACAAACAAAAAATAACGTTTAACAACAACAAAAAACTTGTTAAAACGATAAACTACAAAAAATACGAAACAATCAATACGTAAAAAATAACAAATTTTCAATATGGCCGCCATTGAAATAAAGTTCGACTGAAAAACGAACGAAACACAAACAATAACAAAGACAGATTAAATAAAATAAACGCGAAAATTAGAAGAAAGAAGGATTAACGAGAAAACACAGAAGAATTAAAAGATATTTAAAAAGACAAACAAGAAACAAATAAACACGTAATAAATAAACAATGAAAACGCACGAAAAAATAAACACGTAGAAACAAAGAAAAATTAAGGGTTTTTTTAGTGGGTTGCAGGAAATTAAATTTCAAAAAGAATATAAAATACAAGAAAATTAAAACTAATAAAAGAAATAAAAAGGATAAAGTAAAATAAGGGGAGGGTGAAAAAGAAAGAAGAAAAAAACAAACATTGGCAAAAAGGTCACTAAAATGAACGAAGAAAATCGAAAATAAAAAGGAACTTAATGTCAATAAGGTGTTTTAAAACAAAAAACAGAAACGTTAGTGACAGAAATGGGTCTAGTGGCAAACAGTGGTCGATCGCGGTCTGAAAAGGACGAAGTCTCCTAGTAAAGACTAGTGTGATAAAATAAAATAAGACATATCTCGGCTGATTTACAGACAAATACTCAAGAGCGAGAGACGGATGTGAACGGGACAAATCCCCGTCACAAAATGACCATTATCTTCGTTTACAAATGTCCCGACACACGTGTTCCGGTCGAAAAACAAAATAATATTTAAAGTCTTCTATTTTTCGTCCAATAAAAATGCTTCCCTCCTAATTATACTCGCTTCGTTTTTCGAGCCTGTTAAGCCATAAAAAACGCTATTAAAGGGGTCACACGGAAGTTCAACAGGCAGTCAACAGGGGCCAGGCCGAGCGGTCAGCAGCTGACAGCAGGAGAGCATCAACTACCGTCAACATGTGTGAACTACTATGAGAGATCGACTTAGATCCGAAGCCGGCTTATGAACTATACTACAAGGTAACTGTCCCAAACCCACACGTTCCTGTTGAAATAAACCACGTAAATCTATTTCTGCTGGTGTCGCATTTCTTTCTTGCAACCATAAGCTTGTCTATAACACTAAGAATACAAAATTGTGGCACAAGGCCGAAAGGAAATTGGGGGAACGCTGGTATTTCATTAACTATCCTATTCCTAATTAACCGCAAACATGACCCATTCATTCATTTCAATTACACATTCACCACAAGAACACATTCCTCATCTCTCAATCCTACACACACCACAATACCACATATTCACAAGAAACACCCCATGGTGCAAAAATTTGCAATATATATTTATATATATATATATAATTTTAAGATATTAAAACAAAAAACATGTTAAAAGTCGCTATACAATTACAGCTATGTCTCAACACTACAAATGTGTCTCCTTTCGAAACGCTATTCTTTTGAATTTTTTTCACATCTATAGTAAATAAAATCGTAACTTTAAATTTTTTTAAATAAAATCGTAACTTTAAAAAAATGAATATTAAAAAACAGAACAAATTTAAAAGAAGAATAATATTAAATACAACTATTTGACAAAACTTTAATATTTATTATCCAAATATTCGAGTGTGTGTGTCCGGATAAAATTTTTAAAAAAATACAATAATTAACATATGTGTGTATGTGTCTATTATTGATATATCAATATTTTTCGGCCATCTTGTGGAAAATAATTGTTTTATTCAATCTTTAAAAATAAAGTTCACTGATTTTTTTTAAGAGGATGAAGGCTAATCTCATAGTTAGGAACATTGTTATCTTTCTTTCTTTCTTTCTTTCTTTCTATCTTTATTTATTTATTTCCCCCTTCATTCTGACCAGTTGCTTCACATATACTTACGGGGGAATGTTGAGGGTGAATGTACAGACAAAGCTCTCATCTACGGACACCCCTACTAACGCACTTCGAATGCAACAGACAAAATCTGCAGGCAAAATAAAAATAAAAAGCCTGGAGGAAAAACTTCCAAATCGTCAGCGAAGTATTTCAAAAGTTGTAGTACTTTTCAAATAACCGCTTGATGGCGGTGGTTGGCTTTTCATTTGTAAGCAAAGACGGAAAGTACAATACACGAGCCTGTGCATGAGAAAGTAGCTGTGATAAATCTATTATTTTTTGTTATTTTGATTAATATATTAATTGTTCTGCTCTCATCAGGGCATCAAAGCAGAAGGAAAGTATAAAAATGAAATCGTACAAACATAAGTATCAGTGACAATTTAGATCTTCTTCAGAAAATCGGCTTTAAAAGAACATCCTTCCTCATTCTTAGTCCGTTGATGAGAAGTTTTTCTGTAATTTTATAATTTCTATTCTCTTCAAATATTCATGTGTGTGTGTGTGTGTTTGTTTGTGTGTGTGTGCGTGTCTGTGTCCAGATAAAATAATTAAAAACTACAAACATTAGCGACAAAATAAATCTGGGGCCAATCAAAATCAAGAACAATTCAGGAATTAATTCTATTACCTTAAAAAAAAGTGTTAAGACAGTGACAGGCAAGCACCTGGGAGGGACCAGTCGCTGAAAAGCTTTTCATTCACTCTCTCTTACCCTGAAGCTTCGGACATCTAAAAACCGCACAGAGGCAGTCAAAAGAATTACTGCTATCAATTTTATCAATTCTGTCTTTTTTTTTTCGTGAAAAAAGAGGAAGTATTCTGCTTTTTAAAATTAGAATAATCGTTCGCTCACCGGTAGTTTAACATCACCCAAGGAGACACATTTGTAGTGTTGAGACATAACTGTAATTGTATAGCGATTTTTAACATGCATGTTTTTTGTTTTAACATCCTAAAATTATATATATATATATATATATATATATATATATATATATATATATATAATATTACAAAATTTTACATCATGGGGTGTTTCTTGTGAATATGTGGTATTGTGGTGTGTGCAGGATTGAGGGATGAGGGATCAGTTCTTGTGGTGAATGTGTAATTGTAATGAATGATTGTGGTTAATTAGGAATAGGATAGCTAACGAAATACCAGCGTTTCCCCCACTTCCCCGAACGTTAATAATTATCGAGAATAAGAATTCTTGCCGTTCGTTTTTACTTTTTAATTCAAAGAATTTCTAACTCATTCTAATGCATTTTAATTTTAAAATATCTTTGTAAATATAAATCATAAGATGACAGTTTTTTTTACTTGGGAAATAATGAGTCTGGATATATATTTACTTTGTCGAAATTATTGTAGTTCTTTTTTAGTTTTAGCAGGACACACACACACATACATACATACGAATCCCCGTTTATATATACATAGATTCTTTTCTTTATCTTTTATCTTTTCCCGTTTATAATCCTTATTTTCTTTTTACAATTTTCTTCCTTTTTTCTTTTTTCTTCTTTTCCTTTTCATTTCCTTTCCTTTATAAGTTTCTTTCTTTAGTCCTTCTTGTTACATCTTTTTCTTTGTTCTTTTCTTTCATTATTTTTACTTCTTTTTTTTCTTTTTTAATCTTTTCTTCCGTTTATTCTCTTCCCTTTCTTCACCCATTACATTTTTTTTCGTTTCCTTTACACACAGACACGCAGATCTTTGTATGTGTTTGTCCCTATTTTGCCCAGCACCGTCCAAGGTTTTAGCGGACTGTATATTGAACTATATTCAATCATCAAATCACATTTATTATCGGCCATATGATAATAAAGTCCTAATAAAAGCCAACCCTTCAGATTACGATCATTAGATTAATTTATCTATATGCATAAAACATTTCAAAAGACAGTGATGGAATTTTTCTTCTTACCCAGCTATCTTTGTGACACGTTTCCGGCGGAGGTAACCAAAGCTAACGACATGCAATAATACGAACAATTTGGTTTGTGTGCTGATCAAATGAAGTAAGAAAGATAACGTCAAAAAAGTAAAAAATAGCATCATGTAGAATTCTACAGAACGCAGTTCATATACGTTTTTATTTTCAACATTAACGTAGTATGGCTCAAATCCAGAATAAAGAATCTACTTTTAATCATTAATTAATTTACAGAGTCTTTACTTTCATTTTGTTTTCAAAGCTGTTACTTTCATTTTTATAATGATAGACAAAAGCAAGAGAAATCCTGGCTTTCAGCCTGCTACTTCAAACGTTGGCGGGAAATACGCCCGTGTTCGTCCGATTTAGTTACCAAAACTGATTCTTTTCAACTCTCTTTTACCGGTGAGCAAAAGCAGGCCCCATTCTGTCGTCATTAGACCAAAACAATTTCTTGCTAACTGCCAGACTTTTAGTCGCCGTCAATAAACATTTATTCTCATTTCTTAGTATGCCGATTTTTGATTGGCTCAGCTCTCGATGACTTAACAGTCGAGTGGGCAAACAAAAAACGATACAAATCACCGGATTCTGAGGTTTTCAATGGGTGCTCATTCAAGTCCCATTTCTTGAATGTTTGACGAATCGTGCGTGAGTGTGACATTTTATCATTTCCCAATTTAAAAAGAGCTTAACACAAATGAAGCATTTAAGTCCAGACTTAGACCCACACACTTAAGTGATACTTTTTAACAAGAAAATGCTTGATAGATAGATAGATAGATAGATAGATAGATAGATAGATAGATAGATAGATAGATAGATAGATAGATAGATTCTGGACATAAGAATCAACACGGAATTGTGAGTTCCAATTTCACAGATACTCTGTTTCTCTTTCTCCTTGCCTATCTTTAAATATATATATATATATATATATATATATATATATATATATATTATTATTATTATTATTATCAATTTAAATTTGTGATGATTATAACACAATGATGATTGTTTCGCTGTCGCAAATGACATGAATATCAAAGAGTTCAATGTATCTATCTTAAATCTGATTATTCCCCTCCCTTACCTTGTATTTTAACGTGTTCAGTCCTTAAAGAAAAATAATTTCTAGGTCATCCTATCGGCTCATGTTTAATTTTTCCTTCTTTCCTTTCTTTTCTTTCCGTTGCCCTCTCTCTCTCTCTCTCTTTTTCTCCTTCTCTCTCTCTCCTACCCCTCTCATTTCCCTCTTTCTCTTTCCCCAAGATTTTTTTTTGAAAAACTTATATTGAATTTTTTTCTTTTTCTTTCTTCCTTTATTTATATTAAACATTTTTTTTCTTTTTGTTTTTTCCTATCGCTTTTTGACTCCATTTATTAAAAAATCTTCGGTTTGAATTTTGTATATTCATGTAATAAATTATAACCGAATGGATTTTTAAAGATCGTCTGTACTCCTCATGTGTGTGTGTGTATATATATATATATATATATATATATATATATATATAGCAAGGCAATATATATATATATATATATATATATATATAAATATATATATATATATATATATATATATATATATATATATATATAGGAGCAAGGCAATATATATATATATATATATATATTCATCCAAAGACAGATTATATCACATCTCTTCACTCTGGCTAGACGTCCGACCGAGATTCTACCCCTAGGCTATCGTCTCGCGGCAGAGAGACAGGGAAATTTTAACGTTTGCTATGCGAAATATATTAGTGGCCCGGAGATCTTAATTCAAATTCGGCTGAAGAGCAATGCGTTAATAGCGGCATGAAGCACTGTTTTTTAAATTACCCTTTTTCTCAAGAGAGCTCAACTGGATTTCCCGGGATCATGTATATTGTCATCCACAGACAATCACAGATGTTCAGTGTGGCTAAACACCTGATTGCTTCAAGCTGGGATCGAAATCCAATCGATTTGGTATCAGTCAGGGATAAAGGGAAAAGGAAAATTTCTCTTGCCATTAATCATATTGTCCTTTGACAGATATACTCTATCTGAAATGTTTACACAGGCAGACATACACACGCATATATACATACACGTATATACAGTCTGTCTGAAGTTATGATGTAAATCAAATAAACTTCAAGAACTCAAAAAGTTCTGAACCAATATTTGTCGAATTTTAACTCCTCCATTTTCACTTTTAGTAAAATATTTAACTAAATTTACCACCATTTTAATGGTTAGTTTTTGAGATATTTTAAACTAATATTAGCTTAAGATCTCTTAAATCTAATAAAAACATTTTTGTTCATAATATGTTAAAACATGCGTAAATAGAAGGATGTAACATGTACTGAAAAACAGGAAATTACGAAGTTATTGAGTGCAAAGAATATCCACATTAAAGACATCAAAGGAGCTTTGCAGAGATCATCGAACGATAAAGAAAGCTGTTGAATATATAAATATGTTCAGAACTCGAAGCAAAGGAAAAAGCTTTAAGAACTTGCTTCCTCGAGATGAACGTAAACTAAAGCAACTTATAACGAAACCCCCACATTTGACGAGCGCTCAGATCTTTGAAAAGTCTGGAATTGAGGGAGTCAAGAAGGACAAAAGGTATAGAATACTTTGTGAATTGGGATCTGTAAAAAGATCTCCTAGGCAACCTCCTCTCACTAAAGCAAATATTTGAAATATTTGAAAGGGTCAAAATTGGGTCAAGATATACATGAATATTGACTTTTCTAAACGTAATTTTCACGGACGAATCTCGGGTAACATTTGATGGACCTAATGGATGGGACAAAGGATGGATTTTATCCAATTCGGACGTGACTGTGGCTAAAAGAAGGCAACAAGGGGGTGGTAGTGTTATGATATGGGCTGGAATTGTGGATCAAACCATTATTGAACTTTTCAAAGTCGATGAGGGAGTAAAATTGAACATTGCTTAATACTGCAACTTTATGAAAAAGACTTTCTTTGCATTGTACAATTCCCAGTTTCAAAGTGAAGTACCTCCTCATGTATCTAAGCTAACCAGTGAATTCTTTGAACATAAAAGATTTAGAGGAGAGAAGATAATGGAATGATTATCAATAAATCCTGATCTAAATCCGATCGAAATCTATGGTCAATTATAAAGATGAAATTATATGAATGTGGCAAACAATATAACAGCAAATCAGACCAATGGGAAACAATTAAAACTACCATGTTGGAAGATGAATCTGCTGAAGTAAAAAAAATGAACAAAATTAATAGATAATAGATTACTGAGAAGAAGGATCGCCATATTAAAATGTAAAAGATTCAATTTAATATTTGTTCTATTATAGATGTTCATCAATTTTTGATGATTTTGTTACATTTTTGTTGAAATAAAATGCGATTATTTGGTTTGGCCTAATAACGAAAGCTTTTTAAAATACATCTAATAAGTTCAATATCTTCAATAAAACGAATTGATGCCAGCTAGAATTTTAACGCAGGCTTTGTTTGACATCGAAATTGATTGTTTAAAATTTGACAATTTTTTCAAACCAAACTTGAATTATAGAAGTTTATATGATTTGCTTAATAACTTCAGACAGTAATGTATATATAAACACACACACACATATATATATATATATATATATATATATATATATATATATATATATTCCTTACCGCTAGCACAACTTTGAACTTTATACATAATGCAGTCATCAAGTGCAGATTTGTGTGCAACCTGTGAAGAAAAACGTATATTTATTATTAATATAAATTATAGCTCTGTTATTATACATTGATCACTCTTTTATTATCCCCAGCAATCAATGTGCAACATTTTATAAACACACACGCATATAAAGTGTTCAGAGACTTCGATTTAAAACTGTAACTCCGAGTTTCACGCTAAGACATACTTCAGGCGATAAAGATTTTTATCGTTTGTGAATAGCATTAGCGCGGAATACGGTGACGCCATTTTTGATGTTTCCTGTTATATATATATATATATATATATATATATATATATATATATATATATATATATATATATATATATATGTATGAAAATAGATAAAAAATAAAACTGAAAAACGGGTTAGCTAACCGGTTTCGAACCTCGCTCAAGAAAGCTAAATCGAGGTTAATAAATAGAATTATCACTAAAAAGAGATAGACAATGTGTATTGAACGGAAACAAATATTGCATAGATGGAAATTATTTGATGGCCCAGTACGAAGTCCTTCTGTTTAAACAGAGATGGCTTCAAAGATAAAATATAAATGGCCTCCAACACTTTCAAATGGTAATTCGAGTAGGACTTGCTAAGAATCGTGAATGAATCCACACTGAAATTAGTAGCACGAGTATGGCTATTTATTAGGTCCTCTGTGTTGGAATTGGTCAGAATGTCTGAATGAGAGTACTTAAGATTGCAATTTTCGTTGGAACGTGTTGCTTATTCTAACATCCAGCCTTTCAGTCTTTCTCCCTATGTAGTGTGAGCCACAACTACATTTAAAGTAATAAATTAAAGAACTATTATGATGTGGAAGGAGAACGTTTTTTTGCATGGACGGAAAACTGGCTTGGCAGAAAGGACCACATGAGTGTTAGCGGCAATATAACTAATTTCGAACCGCTATGGAAACCTGCTTAGCATATCTATCACTGATATTACACAGCCAAGGAAGTACATCTTTTTGCTATAGCAGGTTTAACTTTATTGAATTCAACAATTTTATTCTTAATTATTGTTTGAACAATGCCCAACGGATAGGCATTGTTGCAGAGAGTAGTGGTAATAAACCTGAGTTCATCATAAA